TAAGATGAGGAAAAGGCAGAAGTTTCCATGGTACTGGTTTTCATCTGAACTGAAATGTACGATGAAAGAAAAATTACGGTTTCATCGTCATTATAAACATGGCCACAGTGATGCTTGGTACACGAAATTTAGTAGGGCGAGGGTCGAAGTAAAGTTTCTTTATCAGAGAGATAAAGAAAACTTCATGAATAACATCAAGAACGAACTGCTGAAAAATCCTAATATTTGGAAGTACAAAAATAAGGTACTGGGCACAGAAGCCAGGTTCATTATGTTGTCAAATGGTTATGGCTTTTATTGTGACCCCGTGTTGTCGGCGAAATGTTTTCGTCATACTTCTCAAGTGTATTTTTGTGTGATAAGCAGTCTGCGAGCTTAGACTCACAAGCACTTAATCATGTTGTTGCGAAAACTGGTAGCCCCATTTACTGTCGATCACACTGTAGTGCACGATTGTATTAGACGTTTGAAACCTAAACTTTCATTGGGTTCCGATAGCATACCAGCATTTATTGTTAAAGGTTGCTCTGATGCGTTTGTGCCTGTCTTGACCTACCTTTTTGACTTGTCTATTCAAAACTGTATTTTTCCAGAAAAGTGCAAGTCAGCTGTTGTGGTGCCTATTTTCAAATCAGGGGACTCTGCAGATGTTAGAAAGTATAGACCCGTTTCCTTACTAACCACATTCTCGAAACTGTTTGAGATTGTGGTAGAACTTCACCTTTCTAGCTATTTCAAAGAAATATAAACCTCGGCATGGTTTTGTTCAGTCTAAGTGTTGAAACTAACTTAGCTAGTATTTGAGCCATGGGCTGGTCGACGCTATTTATTTTGACTCAAGTAAAGCCTTTGACCTTGTGCAGCATGACTTCAGTCATATCTGTCCAAGCGCATTAACAATGTTTGTGTTAACGGTGTGTTGTCGAGATCATACATATCATCCGGCGTTCCTCAGGGGTCTATATTCTAGGACCGTTGCTGTTTAATATTTTTGCCAACGACATCTCTCTTTGCATAAACATTCAAATCTGCTGCAGTTCGCTGATGATATTAAGATCTTCAAACAAAATCACATGTTCATTGTGACAGGAAGATATTACCGCAATTTCATCATGGTGTCTTCAAAATAAATTATGTCTAAATGCCAAAAAAAAGTGTTACCTCCTTATCAAGGAAGAAGTGCACGCCAGCTTTTCTTGTATAAGCTGGACAATCGACCATCGCGATGCGAATATTGCGTACGTGACTTGGGAGTTTTACAAATCGTGTCAAATTTGGTCAGCTCTTGCTTGCGACTTTTAGGTTTGTTTTCACGTATTACCCATCATTGTCTTGGCTTTACACATTGATTGTGCCCTCAAAACTGGAGTTTGGCTCTGTAGTTTGGAACTGTCTGGGTTTGACCAACTCTGATGGCCTTGAACGTGTGCAGAGAAAGTTGGCACGCATTGTTTGTGTTACGGCCGCCGGTTTTTTTTGGGGCTACCAGTCCATGTTGATCGACTAAACTTGCAATCACTGGTGGCTCGTCGAACTTTTCATGATTATGTATTTTTGTATAAAACTGTGCCCTAGGCTTGTTTCTCTGCTTTCTATACATGTCCCTCAAGTAAACTGTCGACACCACAACACGTTTTACGTGCAAGACATATGTTCATTTTCCCCAATTTTACAAATACAGAGCAGTTTTAATGTACTGAGTGCAGTGGTTGACGTTTTCGCGAGTGAGCGGGATTTTAAAAGCACACTAACCATTCACATTTACTAACATCAGTGTTCAAGTTTTATATGTACTCTGTCATTATGTGCACATGTTTTTTTTTTTTCTTTTTAAACTGTATGTTGCGCGTGAGTGTGTACCACTACTAAGGCATTGGCTGTTTCTAGTACATAAGGCAAATAAATAAAGAAAAATAAACATATTGAAATAGTTGCCAATTTTAGTAAATTGGCCTCTTGTTATATATTAGCTGCGACATTTCTGAACTGTTGGTGTTCTTTGATTGGTACCATTGGTACAAGGTGATTCCACTCTTGTGGAATCACCTTGTGAGAGGAAAAATATGGAAAAAGCATTAGCTCTGCACATTGAAATTCTGACCTCATGAACATGGTTTAATTTGGAAGCCATGTTTTTTCGAGCAATGGGACATGTGCCTGCCAGCACTCACAATGGACACTGTGCCCCACTAGCTACATATTTCATCCTAGGCTGAAAAAAAAGTATGTGATATTTTACAATCTAATGTCGGTCTTAGCAGTGGTGGTTACTCGTCAACTGTAACAATCCGTTTTAAAGAACCACACCAAATATCGTTAACTGCAAAAGCAGATTTATTTATAAATGTAAAGCTGTGAAAACTATGTGCTCCACAATTGTTCTGCAGCAGAGCACATGCACAGTGAAAAACATTAACGCGAGTGCTGGCCTAAAAACAGGGCCCTTCGGCAAAGTACAGATAAATTATGGCGCACAAAATATTAACCAATGCCTGTCAATGTTTCCATGGTTTGTGACTGTGCAAAACCAACACAGCACTCTCAGCAACTATCATAAAAGAGCACACCAAAGTGTGATTGTCAAAAAAAAACAGCATGCAGTCATGAGGTGAGGTCAATGAACATGCATAAACTGTAAAATGGGATTAAAAGCAGTATGGCAATCCTTTTCCACAAACCACAAAAAAAAAACTACTTTTTTTTCAAATACTGAAAAAGGGAACTCAGTACAGCGTGGACAAAATGAATTGAACGCACTTTAAACTTACCACATAATTTGGTTTCTTAACTTATTGCACTGGGATTTAATTACTACAGAGGTGCCTGAAGTTCGTGGAAGCTTTCGCTAAAATTGTGGAAAAATTGGCTCACCCGAGTAAATCAAGAAAAACCAAAAACTAGGGTTTCCCTTTACTACTGAAAAGTATGTGTTACTGTGGCGCTTATTTGGGTCAAATGAAGTGAAGAATATTGAAGCCAATTCTATTTTCTTTCCATTTCACAAATTTTTTAATTTAAGTAAAAGCCACAGCGGTTTTTTGACGATTTTCAGATAAGATAGATAAGGCCAGTTTTTATTTTCTTTCTTTTAACTCCGGAGGTTTCACGTATTCATACTCTAGATTAATGAATGCACCAGCTTAGAGCAGCTCTGATAAGTTAAGAAACCGATTTATACGGTCAGTTTAAAGTGCATTCAATCCATTTCGGCCACATTGTACTGCAGGCTGCCAGCAAAAGCTTGACAACAGAAAGAACCACAAGAGCTTTCCCGCAAACGAAAAAATAAATTGGATAGAAAATTTGTGGGATGAAAACATTGCATGCAAGGCCCAAAAATGTGATAAAGAGGAGTGCCCTTTTGCACTGGTCATATAAACTATGCAGCGTAGGACAAACAGTGTTAACATTTGTACTTTGTGAGGCAGTCAGTTTGAGCAGAAAACGGAAACGAAGATAAATGACTAGCATGCACCGCTTGGCGTGACTGTCCCCTTTGTAAGCCACATGTAATGCGGTATATTCCAAAGGCACCTTGAGGTAGGCAAGAATGTAAACTTTCAGCCTTACACACAGCTATCATGAGAGTAAAAAAATCTATCCTACCAGGAATGATAACAAATGTGACTAGCAGAAACTAGCGGTTAGCAAGTTTGGCAGTTGCGAGGTCTTTCTTTGTGGCTGCCAGAATGGCACACCCAATGGTGTCTGTCGAATTGGCAAAGCAGTCCAGTTGGTGGGAACGGCCAGAGAGCTGAAGCTAGAGGTTGTCTGGGAAGGGCAACTCTGGCGTCTCCTGGTCCTCCTGCTGCCTCTCGATGACGATCGGTCCGTAAGGCTGGTCTTGCGACAGGTGCACCAGGTTCCGCTTGTGCATCCCTGCGCCATCCGAGGGTTTCACTGTCAGCAGTTGATTTCGTGTGCTCACACAGCCAAATCGCCTCAATCAGGATGCACACAAAAGATATGAAACTAGCTCATATTTCACTGTCACTTTAATAGGTTAGTATTGACCATCAGAAAGAGCAACTCGTTCCACACTAACCAAAACATCAAGTTCGTAACGCCAATATCTGCAATGCGTCGTTATTATTATTATTATAAACATATCATAATGTACTTGAAAAAAACCAAAAAAAAAACACCATTGCAGATATGTTGCTCGCGCAGTTGGTGTTGCTCAAAAGATACCCCTGTCCTGTGGCAAGGTGTAAACAACGGGGCTCGTACATTCAACCGCATACTGCAATTGGTGTGGCTGTACTCCCTAGCTATATATAGTAATCAAATATTGGCCAAGCATCCTAACAAGACTGCTGAAGGAATCCACAAAGCATTTTTCATTCCGCATTACGGACCCAACGTTTTTGTTAGAGTGGAATGAGTTACTCTTGATAAGTATTGTTAACCTTTTAATCAGACTGGCACATTTCTTTGACAAGGTTGTACAGGATGGTTAATGGTGCCTGTCTGGTCTTCTTTGTTTCTTACAGAGCATTACAGAGGGGTGGGGATTTGGGAATACAAACGTGAATAGAGTAATAATTAGCTAGTGCAGCCTTAAACGTAATATCATTTACTGTCAGTATTCGCGACTCCAGCTCGTTGCTTGCCCCGTCGCAGTGGTAACGGGAAGTGCTTTAGTGAGGGTCCCCTATCTTTCTGCTCAGCGGGCACGGCAAAACTGCTCGCAATTATGGCTCTCCAACAGTCACTTCTCAATGGGCAAACAACACTCTTCACCAGAGCGTCAAACCGGAACCAAAAACTAGAACCAAACCGTTATTTTTAGCCGAACCAGAACTGAATAACCAAACCAAAATCTTCGCCGCCATCTTGGAACTGAACCGGAAAAAAATATAACAGTAACCAATTCAAAACAGTTCACAGAATTTTTTTGTTGTTGTTTGTATTACAAAATGAATGTTCGATAAATAAAAATTGGCAGCTGTATTTATTTGTAGCGATCAAATTGTCATGTATCAAACTGCAATCAGTGATGTGATTAGTCCGAGTCATTTCGGAGCAGCTCTTGGAGCAGCCAAAAGTCAATTTTGGAGCAGCAAAAATAACTTTTGTAGCATCATTCTTATTCGTACCAATGCAGACATTGTGAAGATCAATGTGTCAGCATGTCCAACTAAAAGGCAATGTCTACATTGACTTCTCACTTACGTGCAACCCTTAGTTTGCATCAATTGCACTGCAGGAGGGAGTCCCTCAAACACAAAACTAGCGTTTCGTTGCGTGGAGAAGCACCAGACACGGTGAGAAGGTGAGTGAAGAGGGATAGCACAAACTGATGTGAATGGTTATTTTAGGTACTGAATCTCACTGAAATAATACAATAATATAGAACTCATAAATAACGGTTCCTTCGAGTTCTAAAGGTTGTAACAAAACAGCCATTTATAATTCAGATAAAAAAAACAAAGAACTTGCCATTTGATTATGAACATCAATTATATTGCATGTGTAGAGCTTCATAACAAAAACGGCATGGGAACAAAACTTAAAAAGCAATCCCGCCGAACTCATTAAGGTTGTTTCCGAGCTTCCATTTAATGTTCCTGCCAACTTAGCTCTAATTTACTCACATCTATATGAAAGTGATAGCTAAACAAATTAGTTGGCATAAATAAATAAATAAACATACGAAAGAGAGCATCTAAATGTTCTTGCACTACCGGAGTATCCTCGCTAAATCTCAATATGGAAATAGGTACAGCCAAGATATTGTAGTATAGCATACATATGAGCCAAAGTTACATTCAGGAACTGTGTCACATCTCGCTCTGGAGCAGTGCTTTCCCCTCAGCACGGTGTTGCACTGCAGCGAAGCAAAACACGCAAAATCGCAATCCTTATGTTGCGGTTTTCGTATCTCTGCAGTACACCAGTGCACGAGGAGGACCGCACTCAACCACACTAACTAATCCTCTAGCAAAACAGACGATTGCGAAACTTCCGAGTACTGTCAGCCTTTCATACGAAATGCGATCGAATAGTACTTTATTTCAGACGATAGCCAAAAGTTCTGAGAATTTGCATAAGCATATCGTAGCGGCCTGGCTGAGCAGCGAGGCCTGAGCTATAATATTTTCAGTATCATTAAAGTGCAGCGTTGCTCCAAAACTAAATTTGGCGCAACGTTGGCACAAACTTTTCACATTTTGGTAAAATGTAGCAGGATGTAGCAGGGTAAGCACTTTGGCACAAATGGCGCAGCAATCACATGTGCAATGTACGAGAAATTGTGGGTTTCCGTGGCACTCTTTCATTGGCACTATGATTAATCGTGTGTCATGCGGTCATGTGACATGGGATGTAAAACCACACTGTGTTGTGAAGGTTCCACTGCTCCACATCTTTGGCACAGACCAGAAAGCGTGGCCCCAGAAACTCTTTTGTTTGCAAAATCACTGCTGCCAGAAAGCGCGTTTTCGTGGTGCCAGACGCTCGCGCCGTTTTTCATGACGCTGCGCTAAGCAAGAATATTTTGTTTTTCGAATATATGACTTGCACTGAGCGCGAACCTTCTGCAGTGTGCATTATGCACAACCGGATTTGATTTTCTCAGCAAGAACAAATCGGAATGACCACCAACATGATGACTTAACGTGCAAACCATGTTAAACATTTAATAAATTCAAAGCAGCGCGCAAAAGGACAAAGAGAAAAGCACACAGCTTGACTTTAAAGTAACTTCTTGTTCCAGCTGTTTTTTTTTTTGTTTTTTTTTTTCAGTAAATGTTTAGACGAGCGCTAAACTATCAACTAAACATTTATTGAAAAAAAAACAAAAAAAAAAACAGCTTGAATAAGAAGTTACTTTAAAGTCAAGCACCACCGTACAATGATGACGTGTCGCTCACCAGGCATCGACAAAATCTCTCTTTTTAATGTACGTAAATTGAAGGCCATAGTTGTACTCTTTTTCTTTATCATTTTTTGATACTACCGTTTTGTTGATTCTTTTGTTTGATTTTATGAAGCGTACATGTCATTCCGTACATGCACAGAGTTTCACACAACATAAAAAAGATTACCGGCAGATACAATGTTAACATTGTCTTTTCTGCGCCCTGCATACTGGCTAAGATATGTCTGACGATGACTACAAAAAAGAAAGTTATGTGCTCCAAGAAGCATGCAAGCCAATATACTGACTGTGTCACTATTGTCAGCTATGAAATACCGCTTAGTTGCGGGGGAAAGTTTCTATAGGACAAACAGGACGCTGTTTCAATGACAGGGCAAGAGAACACAAACTATCTGTATGCAACAATTCGGGGGTGGGGGGGGGTCATCTGTCTGAGCATTGTAAGCGTTGTGGCTGCGAACTGCTTTTGGAGTCAGCGACCTTCTTGAAAAAAGCGAAAGAAAGCCAGTGTGAGAGATTATAGAGGCTTTCTTTATTAAAAAAAAAAGGAATGACAAATGCGTCAGCGTACCATCGGTTAGCCTAATAGATAAGGAAGTGACTTATCTAGATGGGTGTCTGTAAAGTGTTTATTGGCTGTGGGCATTGTTTGATATGTAAAGGGTAGATGAGTTGTGCATATAAGCGTTGAACGGTTTTGCGATAAATCAGTTGAGAGTTGAGCATGTCCCTGTCGTTTCCTATCGTCACGCCTGTTTGCACTTTTCAACCTTATACCTATCATGGACTAACTAGCCCAAACCAAAGTTTTATTAATCTATTAATGTTTTCTGGCATAATTTGTATGTGCCACGACTCCAAGAAAAGTCGCTGTCGGTGGTTGGTCTCAACGTCAAAAATGCGGATGTTTTGCACCCCTGGTTGAACTTGCGAACATCGTTTTGGTGTTGTCGTATGCTCTCCCGAATATTCTTGGTTTGGCTGATGCACGTGGCTGGGCAATCCAAGCATGAAATCTTATAAATGGAACCTTGTGATCTCTCTTGAAGGGGACAATCTTTTGGTCATGGCATAAGCCGTCCAAGTGTTGATGTTGGCTTGTGGGTCGTCTGGACCACCTCTTCAGCCAGCACACGTGCCAGCGCTTCACTTATTCCTGGCACATAGGGAATGCTAATGTGCGCGGTTGGCCGGAACTGCACGCTACTTGCCTGTGGCAGCAGGTGCTGATGATTTTTGTTCATGCGACAGGCAATGTAGTGAATAAAACTTTTTTGAGGTCAGCAAAGACGGTTTGATCTTCTTTTCTTCTGTCAGCCTCAGTCCAGCAGGTAGTCCTTGACCTGAACAAGATCATCCCGACTACCGACGCCTTATGACTGGTACGATGGTTGGAGTCAAACTGGAGGTAGGTATAACGTCAGCTCTTCATTTTATTTCTTTATGAGTACATCGAGAAAAGGCAAGGTGTTGTTCTTTTTTCGTTCCACAGTAAACAGAATGGCCGGCTCGATGGAGTTGATGAAACCTGTTCACTTCGGATGTATTTAGAATAGCGAAGCAGTCGTCTACACACTGCAAGAACACCTTGGGACATGTGGCGAACGACTGCAGCGCCTTTTATTCAATGGCTTCCCTGCATAGGTTTGCCGTGGTGACGGAAATTGAGCACACATTGCAGTTCCGCTTGCCTGTTTGAAGAAGTCCCCCTCGAAGCTGAAGTAGGTGCTACTGAAACAAAACTCAAGGAGGCGGCAGAGTTCATCCACACCCCTCTCCTTCAAATCGTTGTCTTTCTCGGGGGCGTTTCTTGTGGTGGCAACTGCCAGAGGAACCCGAATGCTCGTAAAAAGCAACGTTGAAAGATACCACACTCTCCTCAGCACTCACCCTGAACTGCGAAACATGCTCCACAAAGTCGCTAGAGTTGAGCATGAAGGTCGTTTGTCCAACGAAAGGAGAAAGTGTGCGCTGGAGATCATTTGGAAAGAGCACGCAGCGATGAGGTCGTGAAGATTACAATGGGCTGGAAAGGAACAATAGGTTTATGGATCTTGGGCACACCACAGAATCCCGATGCACATCCATTCCTGCAGAGAAGTCGCAGGTGGCGGTTTCTTGATTCTGGGTGTTTCTTGAAAATTTCCGCCAGGACCTTGTTCATTTTTGCCTGAACTTGTGGCACGGGGTCTTTTTTAAATCCTTCCTAGGCAGAAATTTTGAGAAGATCCGAAACACCTTGCTCGTAATTAGCCTCTCAGTCTAGGGCCACCGTCGAGTTTCCCTTGTGCACAATCTTTTCATCCTCTTGAAGTGCCCGAAGAGCTCTTTGCTCTTCTCAAGACAACTTGTGTCATGGATGTTTTTTTTAATTTTTGATATGATGCTGATCACTTTTTGTCAAATTCGTTCGCAAGCGCTTGGAGCCAAAAGCGCGATGCCGTCTGCTAGAGTGGCAACTACATTCGGCACATTTGGCCTTGTTGAAGCCGTGACCCTTTGCTAAGACCTCGACCCCACAAGGCAAAAGCTGCCTGGATGAGAGGTTTGCGACAAACTTTGATGAGTCGACACCGTGTTTGATTTTGTCGAGTAGGCATCGAAACGCAGGGTTCCCAATTAGGGCCTGCTTTTTAATTATTCCACCCAACCAGACTGATCTCAGCCAAATGTTCATGTTCAAGTCCTGTCAGTCTGCAATAATTTCCAGTAAAAGTACTTGCAAATAGAGCTTTTTCCGTTTGTTTTTATGCAAAAATATGCTCGAGGTGACCACAGTAAAAAAAAGAAAAAGATTGAGCCAACGTCTGGGCACCATCAGTATTCTGGGGACATTCAGTGACTCTAGGAATGCTAACTGCAATTATGGTTGAGGCATAGATGGGATAATTAATTAGGTAAGCTTTTAGACTGGAATTGTTACAATAGATTTTATGAAATAAACATAGATGAAAGATTGTACGCCGGATGGAAAGGAGGGGTAAAGAGAAATTGCATTTCATTGACATGACACTTGACGTACGATGGTAGTATGAAACATGCTGACCGGTTCTTTAAAAAGCTGATATAGAAATTTCTCTACTAGCATCCCAGTCTGAGCGTGCTAATTCGAATTAATACTTGGCCTTATAAAGTAATAATTTTAGAGAAGATGGGGCTAAAGAAAATTTGTGTCCGATGTATCCAAGCATGCGATTAGTACCATAATTTCTAACATGCTCGGTACAATTTTTCCACGATGGGTCAGAAGCAATCTGGACACCTAAGTATTTATGAGATTATACGATTTCAAGAAGACTATCTGACAAGTGGTAGAGAAGACAAGCTGTGGTTTTACGGGAGATTCTCATTTCGTCACATTTGATATTTAATTTCATTTGCCGAGAATCGCACGAGGCAATGAGAGCAAATCGTCAACTTCTTGTGCCGCATTCTGATTGGCTTTGATTGGAAAGATAGTGGGTAGGCATCAATGCCTTAAGGGCTACCCACTATTTTGTTTTCAATCAGCATATAAGAGCCTGGAGTTCCACCATCATCGCAATTCCTGCGCAAGAAGCCGACCAACTTTCGCTCCGCATAGCCTGAATGTCCGATTGAATTATGGAAACAAGGCAATGCATTTTGTTGGGAAAGAAAACAAGTAGCTAGTCAGTGCCGAGTTTGTCTTATCTTGCACTTTTAGGCAGTTTTATTTATCCTAGTTTGCATATCTGACTGACCGACTGCGTAATGACCACTTGCGACTGTTTATGAGACGGCACAGTGGCACCATCTTTCGAATGGCCCTGGTGACAAAATGCAAATAATCGTCGAATGCCTCGAGTCCCGAACTACAGTTGATGCCAGGTTAAGAACCTAGTAGATGCATCAGGCGTGAGCTTTCTGCCTTTGATAACACGATGTGCGCGCAGCAAGTTTGCCAGAAGGTAAGAAGGGCGTGTTGGAAGCAGAGCATCTGTTGGGTTCTTAACGTACAACCATACAGACTGAAGGTTTTGCGTTATTTGCGAGATACGTGCTATCTTTGAGAAATGGTCACTTATAGCATTGTCCCAATTATTAAGCCAATGGTAAAAGAACGATGCATGACAGAAATATGTGTAGGCCAACTAGAAGCAGGCTGGGTCTACCCAAGACTGCGTTATCTCTTTGAAAACAATCACGGGCGGTCATAATGCAGTTTGTCACAGGGAAATGCAAATGTGTAAAACTGCCTTAAAACACACACAAAAAATTTTTTTTTAATATTTAGATGGGACATATTATTGTTTGTAAATTTTTCCATGACTGAGCAATATTTACGTTGGGGGCAATTTAGCTGGGGGACTCTAGGTCCTGTCCAGTGCTTAGCTCTAGTCGGAGACAGGTCAAGAACGAAGTGGAAGCTCCTCCCACCTCTTTCCACTTTAGTAGAGTGAATGCTGGAGAGAAGGCGACCTCCTCTCCACCTCCACTGAAGTGGAAAGGGGTGCGAGGAGCTTCCACTTCATTCTTGACCTGTCAGCGACTATAGCTAAGCAGCTTTTCTCGGCTCGCATTGGTTGGAGAAATGATTGGCATTTGAAATGTTTGTCGTAAAAATGTTTCTCTGTGCCATAATAGTAATTTTATCAACAATAATTTTAAGTCTGAGAAACAAATTTATTTATTTATTTAAATACCTTAAGGACCACCTTGGGGGTATTACATAAGGGTTGAGTAATAAACAAAAAAACAGGTGACAAAAGCTCATCGAGAAAAAGCGCATAAAAACAATTCAGACAAAACATCAAAGTAGACAAAAAATATATACACAAAATAGTTACGCACAAATCTACACTACGATAGCTAATAAAAGTTGCTAAAATTTTGTTGCTTGGAGTTGCAACAATGTTTGAGGGAAGACCATTCCAATCTATGGTAGTGCGTAAAAAGAAAGAATTTTGAAATGCGACTGTTCCCACTTTTGGGCATACTACGTCGAGGGTATGGCACGTACGACGATGACACGACACGACGATGACGGAGGCACGGGCTGTAATGAAACTTGTGAAAAAGAAATAGCCTAGCAAGCTTGCAACGTCCAGAAAGGAGAGGAAGACTCGCAGGGATTGTGAGAGAAGAGACGCTCGTGAAAGAAAAAGAATCTGAGTAAACGAAATGTGATGCACGGTTCTGGACCGGTTCAATGTTATTGGTGAGCCTGATGTGCGTCCCAGATGGCAGGTGCAAACTCTAGTTTAGGAGGGACAAGGGATGAGTATGAGTGGGTGCGCTGCTCACCCCGCGCCTTGCCGCGCGCTGCATTTTGCGGCCGCATGGATGAGCCCCGCATACTTTGATGAATAAAAAATCACGTTTTGAGCTGAAAGCCCCGCGTCTCGTCGTCGCATCCGCATGTGCGTTTAGGATGGGGGGGGGGGTACTGACTCGGGTGCTTGCGGAACCCAAGCGAGCACTCCGCGGAACCCAGTTTGAGAACCCATGTCTGAAGTATGTAGTAAAGAAGTTTCGGAATGCTTATCATTTTGGATTGTTTCGATCTGGATGAGCATCGTGGTGGCGTGTGATTGTGCATCCCTACTGCATGAAGCACTTGAAGATTCCAGGCTAGCCGTTCTGCATTGCCTAATAGCGAGTTTGTTTCACACGCACTGGCACCATTCGAGTTCTTTCCCAGAATGCATCGCACTCGCGGAGTGTCCCACGGAGAACCGGCCACCAACGAACTTTCCAAATGCACAGAGTGCAGAAGACTGATGCTGTCGCCATCTATGTTGTAGAAAGGGTACCGATCTCAGACCAAAGCTAGCACCTTTCTGTTCAACGTGATGGATGGGAATGCGAGAGTGCAGTCGCTACTAACGTTTATCCATGAACGTTGGTCGCTGCAACCTCTTGTTTTTATTTGCAATGACTTCAAGTAACTTGGCTGTCGTAGAGATACTTACAGACGGCGTAAATTTCCGCAACCAGCTGACTACAAAGCAGCTGGGGTTTACACTGGAGAAAACTGATGCTGTCCACGCAGAAGCTTGATCTGTTTGAGCATGGTATTATGCGTGAACCACTGAAATGCTACGGCTTAAAACTAGTGTGATAGAATTTCCAGCAAAAATTTCTCGTGGGACTTTCGATTTCGATTGTAGTTACAGGTGGATCAGATTTTCGCTTTGGTGAGGGCGTCGAGAATGAGAGCTTTTTCAAACAAAGTACGACGGGGCAAGTAAGCTGACGTGCAAGTAGGCAGGCGAGCTTGTTGAGGATAGACATAGTAACCGTGGAGCTAGGGGATAAAAAGGGATGAACAGTTGGAGTTTCGTGTCTGTCCGTCCCTTGTTGTCCCCTAGCTCCAGGGTTAATGTCCACAGATTTCTGCTGAGGGAGCTTTGTCGACAAATGTTAAATTTTTCACTCACACACGAATGGTGATAAAGATTTCGGGAGCCGCTGATGCGTTTGTTCTGAGCATTTCTTCATACACTCATATATTTCGGGGTCTGTATGACAACAGAGCAACTAAAAACTTGCGAACAAAGCATGGGTTGTCAATTGCTTGCTTCATAAAATAGCAGACGCTCACAATTCAAGGTCGCATTTGATTCTGTTGCCTGCGGAACACGATTTCTATCAAAAAATCTACTTTTTTTTCTTTTCGGTTCCGCTGTACGAACGACACATTGTAGCAGACGAACCCTCGTCGTCTGCTCCCGCTCCTTGCCGGAGCAAGGCACCCCTTATTGCATTTTGGCGCATGCTCGATTTTCTTGGTGCAGCAAGTGCACGCACACGTGAGGTGCCGCCGCTGAAACAAACCCGCTCCATGCTGCGAGCGGGCACTTGTGGGCACAAGTGCCGTGAAACAAACTCGCTAAAAATTTCTCATCTACAGCGTAGAGACATGTCGCCTCTCTAGATGGTTGACAAGCATCTTGCTGTCTATATATCCACCACTACAGTTTTAGGACTCTGATCTTTCGCCTCTCCGACCCGTTGTAGATTATCAGGAATTACTTCAGACTGTTTATTAAAAAGTAAAGAACTGTTGTCAAACATTAGAACAATTATTTATAGGCAGGATGCTTCCATTATATGCTTGCCAAAAAAAATTGAATCGAAAAATAAAAGGTTTTTAGAGGCGGCTAATTGGTAACCGAAAAAGTGAAGGCCGGAACCCCCAAACAAACTAAACAGATTTGAAGAAAAAATAGTGACCCTAACCGAATCAATATATTTATCGGTTTCAGTCCCTGGCTTTAATAGACCCCTTCGAAACATACACCCTATTACGGCCGATTTGAAATTACTGCAAAAGACACCATAAAATGTCAGGTCTATCATTTGTATACAATTTGTTGGAAGTGAGTGTTTTATCAGTTATAGACTTGCCAGCTTGTTGGTGTTGTTTGTGCACGCAACTTTGCAGTATTTTCAGATCAATCACGTAAGAGGGCACAATTTTTGAAAGGGTCTATTGTGCATCATGACGCACATCCACCATGTGAAAAAATAACAAGATAGAAAAGCTGGAAGGAGTGCGTATTTATTTTGCTGATTGTTCTACTTCGCTAATTACGCACATCAATAGAGGCTGACAGACGCTTGTATTGGACCGTGGCTCGTGCATGATGGAACACTAGAACACTGCTTTCATGGATGAGTCTTGCGAGCGTTGCACAAGTTTTTAGACGGGGTGTAAAAGCAGATGGGCCAAGGCAAAAACGGATGCCGACGCGCAGCTTTCATGTCCACATCTTACGGTCATTGCAGACGATGACGGACGGTGTTGGAATGGCGGATGATACCGGAGGCTGCCACGCGTCTGCTTGCACGACAAGCCGGCCGTGTCAGACGCTGGACTAGACGCACTGGATGTCGCGAAAGAAAGACACTAGGCTGGCGAGCGTGTTCGGCCAAGCAGCCGAGCCAATCCAGTAATAATGGGCGGGGCCACTGGTCCCTGGGTGGGGCTTAGAGCGGGCTGTGACCTCCACCTAAATTGTGTCTAACAGAATAAATAGTGCGCAAACAAATTTGTCAGTTTTATTCGTGAAAAAATTACAACAAAATATTGCCACGCGCGTCGCTGAGCAAGCGCGTACGTGGCCGAATGGTTGCCGTGCTTGGCAGTGGCGTTTGGGTCTGATTCCCAGCGAGCGGAACATTCTTTGATTTATTCTTTCTACTTGGCGTTCTTGCAAATTCGAGAACTTTCTTGTCTGATCGAGTGACAAATGTTCTACGTGCCAAACTTTCTATGCCAAATGTTCCAGAAACCTGCGTGGCTAGAAAAGGGGCTCCGCGTGGCAAGCCAGAGTTAGTCTCGCCTCAGTGCTCGATCCTGCTGTTACGCCCACGGCGCCTGCGACGCTAGCCCTTTTTCTATTTTGTTTTGGGCACAAGTTCACCCCATTAAACGTATCAGTTTCCTCAATTACTCTTTGTTTCGCCACCTCGTCATTTGTGACCATATATTTGTCCCATCTACTGTATTTACTCGCATAATGCACACACTTTTTCCCCGAAAAATGACGCATATTTGGGGGCTGCGTTTATTAAGCGGGGTAAACTTTTTGCATTTACGCACTTCGTGCAAACGTCATATTAGGTGCCAATATGACATGGAAAGGTACTGTGGCACGTCTCCACTGATGGAGGTGCACCCATGGCTGGTCAGGGGCGTACCACAGTAACCATGCTTTATAATTTGCGAACCCTTTTAGGGCGCTTTCGGCGTATCTTTTGCCGAAAAAAAAGTGCCCTACGAAGCTTTCAGCACGGGGAGCGACGCGACCGTTCTTAGGTCCAGCCACTTTCCCAATTTCACTGTCCGAAAGCGGACCACAGGTGACGACATTTTTGTTGACATCAATGCATCTGATAGGTGAAGAATGTTCAGGGCTCGGCAATCCCTTGACCCAAGCTTCGTCGAGTGTGCACGCCACTCTGTTTCACGGTTGATCACTTCCGCAGGTGCTTCCAGCCATTACGAGAACAGCTTGGCTTGGCTTGACTTGGCCTGACCGCTTGGTAGCAAAAGAAAATTGGCTTGGTGAGTTGGACGCAAATCGAGACTCGTGCAGCCGAAAATTGGAGGTGCGTTCATTACGGGAGGAAAAAAAAAGTCCAAATATTGGTACCCGCTGTGGGGGGTGTGTTCATTATGCGAGTGCGTTCATTATGCAAGTAAATACAATATGCCCTTAACGGAACGGAATACAGCTGAGGATCGTGATTTTCTCAAAACGGAGTGCACACTACATGCTCACTGGGAGGAGATGACGATGCAGGAAGCCACGGGCACTCACCGAGCAGGGTGGCGAAGGTGCGGGCGACCTCCTGGCGGCAAAAGGCGTCGGGCGTCACGAGGCGTTCCATGGTGCACATGCCGTGTGCGTCGCAGTTCCTCGCCAGGCGGTTCCACACTGCGCCCATGGCTCCCTCCTTCCGGGCGGCGGACGGACCGGCTCGGGTCGGCGCTGGGAAGTCGCCCGCGTCGCTTAGTGTGCTCTGTCGGCACTACGCCCATTTGGGCAATAGTATGCAATCGTCAACCGCTCTACACCGGTGGCGGATCATGTGTCTCGTCTCGCACCGCCAACCAGTTCGCAAAACGCGCACGCCTCGGGTGGCGGGTTTGAATCCCGGACAAGATGCCTGCAATCCGACGGAGGCTCGACGCACGACGATGATTTCGGTTGTGCGTCGAAAGATCCCCGGGTGGTCGAAATTAATCTTCCGGCCCCCACCAGGGCATGCCGATGCCCTTTGTTGGTCTGTGTCAAGCCCCCAAATTTGACCTTCGCAATAAAGTGATTTTGAAGCACCTTCCGGAGCATAAGCACAGATTTCATTTGCATTCATACCACTGCCAATATCATAATGGCACTATTTGAACCCTTAATTGAGTGGACAGTTGATTTCGATAGGCACAGCCTGCGTAGGCGCAGTTTCAGACACTGCTGGCGGCTAAATTGCTGCTTTTTCTGACTGTATTTTGGATTTCATGTTGTATGTGTTTCTTCAAGGACATTAGGAAAGCATTGTTTCATGTTTGAAACCAAAAACAAACTGTACACCATTTTTGTTGGGTATGCGCACGACAGAATGAATGCGACTAGAATTATATTTCACGAGTTTTGACAGCGCCACCTGTGTTAATCGACAAAGTGCTTAGCTATCGAAAATAATTTATACCAGAAGATAACCGAAAGGCACGCATATTTCACGCGCACAAATAAATTCTGCTTATTAGTGGACAGGACTCGGACATAAAATTTATCAACAATCTGTAAGTACCACGCGTTGCAGCCAGGGATGGGCAAAATACATGCAAATATGTATCGAAATACAAATACAAAATACTTCGTCAAAAATGTATTTAATTACAAATCTAATTACATTTCCAAAAAAGCATTTAATTACAAGATACAAATACAACCAAATGTATTTGGTCTCTTCCAAATACATTCCTCAAAATTTGCGTCAGCGACTTCAGGGCACCTGCAACAGGTTTCTGGGTATCTCATTTTAATTTTGCATCACACACTCGGGAGCTAGTGCGCAAGGCTCTAGTAAGGTAATACAAATATAATCACACAAAAAATGTAATCAGCTTGGACGTAATAGGTGAAAAAAGTACAGAGCTTCAAGCAGCTTTTTTTGTCGATCCCATTTTGGTATAGACCAACAAAGAACCGAGACGACCAAGACACGCAGCACTAGCTAGAGAATTTTTTATTGTTGCAACTCGCACCAGTTAAGAAAATCTGGACGACCCGCGCATTTAGAATGTTCCAGGTAAAAATATGGATGGAAATCAGGCTGCAAAGCATCACAAGTTGTCACAGGCACTTATTTAGCCAGTCTGGCTGTGAACGTCGATTTCGTCACTATTCTTGCCCTGGACTAGCACCGTAATCACAAAGTTACTAAACGCTTGTGCTTGATTGAGAAACACTGCATTCGGTGCAGAACGTAGTTTTCTTCCTGCTCTGGACAGTGACAATAAATTTGAGGGATGTATTTTCGCCCACAAAATTGTATGTAATTACAATTGTATTTGAAATACCCACGTTTTAGTATTTATAAATACACACGTCAAATACATTACCCAATTTGTAATTAAATAAAAATGCAAAATACACAAAGTATTTAAAATATATATTTCAAATACTTGTAGTTGAAATACTGCCCATCCCTGGTTGCAGCGTTATCCAAAAAGGATTTATTTGAGAAAGCGCTGAAATAACAAAGCTCTACAGTGTCGAGGACAACCGCATCTTAACGAAAGGACCGAATCTAAGGGTTTTAGGGCGCGTTTTGGAGAGAGCATCCATTTTTCATGACACAGGAACATTTGCTACGAACCCGTTGCAGCTATTTTTGGCCATGACTGAGAGTATAACAACCACAGTCTTTTGGGTTTTTTTTTTTCAAAAACTATGAGGAGCGCTTTCACCTTAGCATGCGGGTGCACTGGGCAAAGCAAGATACTGTAAACAACTAAATTTTCACAAGGACCTAATTTTCGCGAATTTCGCGAATCGCATACAATTCGCGAAAAATAGGTCCCACAAACAATTTGGGCAATATGTGAACGCTACGGAAGCTACACTCGATTCGCAAAAATTACAACCCGCGAATAATGTCAAATTTTCAGCTTTGACCCGATTCGCGAAAATTTGAGCCCGAGAAATTTAAGTCGTTTACAGAATGCAAAATTGCAACATCTACTATGCAGTTGTCGCTTCACTGCAGTATGCGGTGACAAGTACACTAACAATACTAGCCATTCCCTCAGAAAAGAGCATGAGAGATGTTGCACAACTTGAGCGTATGTTTGATATGGAAATCAAATTGAATACAATGTTATTTTAATTGATATCCGAAAGTTTGGAAATGCACACTAGCCTATTGTAACGAGGCCCCAATTTATTATATCAACTAATGGAGCGAAAATAAGTTTTGGCACTATGTTGGCACAAATTCCTCACATTTTGGCAAAATGTAGCAGGATGTAGCGAGGTAACTGCGCCAAACTGCACAGTTTGACACTCGCATCATTGCCTTTGGCCGTTAGTGCCACCACAGCCGCCATTCGGTAACAGCGCCAGTACCAACCGGTCACTCCTTCATATCGATTCCAATTGTACGATGCTCGCCAAACTTACCATGGACGTGCCAACTGCGTCTCATCTTGCGGGAGCGTCGTCCCGGAGGCAGCCCAAAAAGTGCCATGTGACGTAACGCTCCATGGAACGGCCCGAGGAAGGCCACTTGCACAAAGCCAAAATCGTGACGAGAGAGTGGCTGAACGTGTACATTGCCCGGGGGGCAAAACTGGTTCTTAGTTTTCTGGCCCGGTCGAGATTTCTGGCTCGAGCGGCCTCTTAATTCCGTGAGGGCCGTTCCAGGAAACGCAATGTGGTGGCTGCCCCCGGCAAGGCGCTCCCGCGAGATAAGACGCGTGTTCCATATGAGTGTGGCAAGCACTGTAAAATTGCACATAAAGTCAAACAAATCCTTCCCAGAATATGCTGTCCCAATTTTGGGTACATTTTTCCAAGTTGTGCAACGGCGCAAGAGGTTGAACAGCTTTTAGGGTACAGAGACTTTGCCAATGCAATGTAGTGTCGATGCGCTGAGCCAAGCACTTCCATGCATTATTGTTTACTCAACAAAGTTTATAGAGTCTTGCACCGCTTTACTGGATGAATACTGAGAACAAGAGGACTTGTTTGAGATCGTTTGAGGACCCTCGAACTCACGTTAACGAAGCAGTGCACACAAAAACCAAACGAAAGGAGTACATGGGACGAGCGCCGATTGGGGCTGTACCTACCACATTTTCCTCACCGCAGTCCACAGGAGCAAGTTTTGGTTGAAAAAGAAAAGATTTTCCTCGGATGCCTGGTGCATAGCCCACACCCGTTTCATTGTTTGCAGGCAAAAACATGTTATACACTGCACACCTTGAGAAATGCCTGCTTCATTAACTCGCAAAGTAACTCGTATTGCAAATAAACTATCATTAACATACTAAGTGCTTCAGAAAATCCGTAACATCTCGTAATAATGATAGGTCTGAAAAAAAAAAAAAAAAAGTAGGAAAAGGTGTATGAATTTTCACCGAAAAATGAAGGGAAGTTTCAATTTTCAATTGAAACTTCCCTTCAACCTTTCACTGTAGAGTGTCAAAATGCGAGTTCCTTTTCAGACAGTGCTACGGATGGCTGGACGACAGATTTATCTCCTAAACTGGAAATGCCGAAAGCTTCCCAAACTTTTCTGGCAAGTTTATCTCAATATACCCAATAATTGTGGCGCCAAAAAATGTTGCCGTTTCAGTTGAAAGTCATTTTTTTCCATTTCAGTTGCAAGTCGGCACGTGTTTGTCCCATGTTCCTTTGTTTTGTCCCGTATCTTTGAGTGCCGTCTTTTTGTTTTTTATCACGTTCAACGATTTTTGTTTAGCTCATCTTACCACTTGGCTATAGATACTCTACAGTACGCACAACTTAGACTTCTAAATGCGTATAGTCCACAGACTATAGTTGGGAAAGTATGGTACTCCTTCGGTTAATGCTAGTCATAAACCAATCCGTCCACATTGCCGCTTTCAACTGCTTTTGAGATGAAGCTGCTCAGTCTGTGCATGGCTGTGAGTGCAGCCAGAAGACCGTGCCAGTCTATGTCTAAGTCACACAACGAGCAGAGCGACATACTCTCATGACGAGCCTCCTCTTGTTCCACAATGGGCTCCATGGAAGGGGGACGCCTGCAGGTGAAAATTGGAATGAGCGTTGGCAACAGCAACCAAGTAGGCTGGACACAAAACCGGCAGCTGCGACTGGCAGATCCCAAGAGGTACCATCGAGTGGCTGCTTTCTGAACTTAGTGAAGCTTTCTAAGTTGCAAACAAACCTGATCAACGCTCTGTTCCGTCCCAAATCGATACACCCAGTTCTCTATACCATTTGAGAAATAGTATAGCGAACTTTGTTTTTCTTATTTACTCGCTCGACTCATTCAAACCCAGCATGTAGATGT